ATCTGGACTAACCCCCGGGGTTACTCTGGCCCGGCCCGGCAGGGGTTACTCTGGCCAGGGTGAGGTGAATCTGGCCTGTTACAGCTGGCCAGATTAACCCGTGGTTACTCTAGGCTAGGCCAGAATAACCCCTCAATAACCCCTCCGGGGTTATTCTAGGCCAGGCCAGAATAACCCCGGGGTTACTCTGGCCGGGGGGTTAATCCGGCCTGTTACACCGGGCCACTGCCGACACAGCCCGTGCTCTCGGCCGACATGGCCTGAGAGCGCCACGGCCCTGATGTACCCAGCCACTGCAGCGGCCCAACGCCCCTGATCCGGGCCGCCGCCGACACAGCCCGCGCTCCCGGCCAACGTGGCCTGAGAGCGCCAAGGCCCCAATGTTCCTGGCTGCTGCAGCAGCCCAACACCCCCGGTCACCGCAAGAGCACTGCAACCGCATGCCGGGCACAAGCAGCCACCCGTCCCGGACCTCTGGCATCCCGCCGGGCCTGAAGCCCACAAAGGCCCTGGCCCGCCTTCCTACATCGTGCTCGGAGCTGCCACTTGCTCCGAGTACGCCAAAGGACTGGAGAGGTAGGGGGCAGAAGCCAGGCCTAAGTAGGGTGGCTCTGCCCCCTATCAGTGTCTTCAACTTTCTGCCTTTCAAGGCTTGGTGGGGGTTGGGACTCGCATGATGTAAGTTGGTGTAATAACAACAACAGGCATTTAGCAATTTAGAATGTCCAAAATGAGTTCTCAGTTATATTTACCAACAACCTTGTATGGAAGACTGGCCTCCACACCAATCTGGGTGCCAGGGGTGATTGTTGATATTCCCCTTGCCAGTACTCACATGATATAAGTTGGTGTAATAACAACAACAGGCATTTAGCAATTTAGAATGTCCAAAATGAGTTCTCAGTTATATTTACCAACAACCTTGTATGGTAGACTGGCCTCCACACCAATCTGGGTGCCAGGGGTGATTGTTGATATTCCCCTTGCCAGTGGAGGATCTTCTCGACAAGACATGAGAATCTCCCATCCCTGTCCCCATCCCAGGAGAAAAGAGCAGAGATCTGTCACATCATTTGCTGTGTTTTGGAGCAATCATTGGTATCTTTTGCCTGCTTGAAAGCTCATCCTTCCATTCCCTGACATCATAGTGGGGAGGAAAGGCCTCTCATATTAATGTGAGCTTTAAATCAAGCAAGACTAATGTGTAATATATTCTGGATTCATGTCTGTTATAGTTAATAAGGTAATCTGCTGCAATAGAGCTGGGGAATACTTCTTGCAGAAAGACAGGTTCTTCTGTGTATATTCATGCAAATGTTATGAAGTGGTTCTCGTAGCTAAGATGGATGGAAAAGATAATGTGCTTGGCAATGCCCATAAGGTTATAGGACACAAATCCATGTATTAGCCAGACTTTGTGATCCAAAGCAACATCCTTACAATTTCTGGCATTAGCCATCCTTTTTAACATCATTTTCCTTCATTTGGGGGAAAGTTATGCTATTGTTTCTCTCTCAAAACCCCTTTCAATACAAAACAAGCTTTGTTGCAAAATCCACCACTGACTTTAGCTATAGCATGCACAGAATCGAGTTTATTTTACACAATTCACTTTATTTTCTCTAGACATTTAATGATGATGCTTTGTGAGTATGTCATGACAAGCTCAGTGCCAGCCAGAATAGACAAATGTGGTTGTATGAGCAAATGCAGGAAAAATAAAAGGCTCATTGAGAGATAATGTTGACAATGTCTTAACACCAGGACAAGCCATTCTCTCAAAATGAAAACAATAAACAAAAGATCCTGTGTAGTTTCCTTGGTGATGGCTACTTTAGAGAACAGATTTTGCTTGGAGCATTCTACTGGAGAGACAGGGAAGGACTTCTTCGTTCTTGACCTGCCAAATGTTAGAAGCGGTTTAATTTCAGTAGTGGAGGTTACTGTTCATTGTCCTCTGCCATAGTAGACTCCTGCACACATTCCTTAAGAGTTCCCCATTTTCATAGATAGAGATTCATTCTGGCATATCTGTCTAGTCAACTCTGTATGTTTGCCTCAATTCAATAGACTTTCTTTAGCAGATTAGTTGTAGATTTTCCGGGCTGTATGGCCGTGGTCTTGGCATTGTACCTGACGTCTCTTCAGCAGATGTGACTGGCATTCTCAGAGGTGTAACACAGAAAGATGGAGTATTCTCTGTGTCAATGTCACACAATCTACAACAACTATTGAACTCCGCCCGTGAAACCCTTTGACAACATGTTACTTTAGCAGACATTGGAATTCCATTATTATAACTTAACATGACCTTTACTTAAATTGAATGTACACATCCTAATATTTCTTACCAAAGTATGTACTGCAAGTGTGCCAGATCTTTACCACTTATACACCCTCCCCAGCCCCTGGTTACTGTTGCGCATGATGATCACTTGGTTGGCTTTATTTATTTATTTATTTATTCTATTTATACCCTGCCCTCCCCACCGAGACAGGCTCAGAGTGGGGTATCCATCTGGTGCAGCTTGTAACCTTTATATACCCTTATACACCTTTGCTTTCTTTGCAAAGCTTTACAAACTAGTGGAGTGTTTTAAGGACAATTTTCATTCTTCAGAAAAACAAGCTGTAATGAAACAGTGACGTTTGTGAGTATACTTTTAATTACTGACACTGTGATTATACCTGGGATTGAACCACAGGAGAGGATATGAAAAGTGCTTGAGTTCCCATTTGTAAGTAGCTGTGTTCTACATGAAGTAGTTGTTACCTTTTTGTGTCAAAGACCTTGGTACAACTAAAATTAATTTAATATTTATTATTGCCTACCCTTCCAGACAATCAGGATTTTCCATACTTTTTCTAAAACAAAAGTTAGTGTATTTTAAAATTTTCTACCCCACCTTTCCCATATAAAGGACTCAAGCCTGTCAGAACATCTTTCAGTCCTTTCTGCTTGGCAAATGCTGAACCTTCTTGTAGCACGACAGTCTGAGAGGGGTTTGGGGTATTGTTTTTCCAGAATCTCTGCCATGTATGTGGGTAAGAAGTATGTACATGTCCTAACAATGGCATTCTCTATAAGAGATTTTTAAATAAAGAACACAGGTTATATCAAATTGTTGTCCAGAGGGCCTTTAAGTGCCAAGTTTCCTCTTAGGCCAACTCAGATTATCTGAGTGTCTAGCAAATATGTAAAATGTATATTCATGTATTTAATGTTTCATTGCAATTGCCTTATGGCTTACAGTTTGTTTTGGTTTATTCAAAAGGGTGGGCTAAGTGCCCAAGCTTTTCTTCGCATTGAGATAGAAGACATTAATGATAATCACCCTGTGTTCAACCCAGAAATTTACATGACAAGCATCAGCAGTCGTATGCAGCCAGGAACTGAAGTCATTAATGTTGTTGCTACAGACAAGGATTCTGGGATATATGGAGTTGTAACTTATGAACTGGTACCAGGTGACTTCTCTTCCCTGTTCACAGTGGATACAACAACAGGTATGATATAGGTCCCTGTGATGTGGGTTTTTAACCACAGAAGATTATTGCAGGATCCCAAAATGTAAAAGTTAATTGCTGTAACTTTAAAATGTCATTCTTTTAGTACTAGGTACACTTAAGTGACTTTTCCATTTCACTGTTAGATTCTTAAAATGGGGTCAGGAAATGCAGTGTTTGTGGACCATCCAAGATTTTCCTTCCTTACGTTACAAGACTGTCCTGATAGAAGAAGGATCCTAGTGTAGCCTTTACTCTGACATGCTCGTTTTGAGGGTGTCTTCTATATTTGTGGGATTTCAAACATCTGATGCAGGCTGAGGGGATACAGTTCAGCAATTGATTCATCACATAGGCTTGCAGATCACGTGTTACTTTATAAGAATGCACATTTGAATGTGCATGGACAAATATGCAAACTATTCCATATAGGATTATTGAGAGAGACCAAATTTATAGGAGCTTAATGACTTTTCTAACAAGCTGGACTTATCTTTGTAGCTTAGTTTTTCAAAGAAGTCCATGGTGTAGGGATTTTTTTAAGTAAGATCAAATCCAGTTGGTCTTTGTTTCTGACTATCAAAAAGGTCATTTAAATCAGGGAACAATGGACTGCAGAGGTAAATTTGTGGAAATTCGTAGTGGTGGTTTCATCTACCCATTGGAATCACCCCTCTATAATTTTTTGAAGAGAGAATGAATATAAAAAAGAAAGCAGAGAGAGCATATTTATCAGTAGGGATGGGCATGAACCGGCTCATGAACAAAAGTTCATTTCAAATTTTGTCTGGTTCGTGGTTTGTGAAGTGATGTTCATGAACTGAAGAGTCACCACGAACTTCCACAAATTTTGATGCAGTTCATGGCAGTTTGTGAAGAGCAGAAAGCAGGGGTTTAAACAAATCCAAGCCATTTACACCCCTGCTTTCTGCTCTCCATCACTCAGCTGTTTGGTTTGAATGGCTTGGAGCTATTTAAACTACAGCTTTATGCTCCCCATGAAAAGTGGCTGCCAGCCATTTCTCCAGTGGTTCAGCTAGTAGGACAGTCCATACAGATGGGATAAGCTCCTCCTCCAATTGCAGGGTCGGCTCCAAACTTTGATCCAGGTGGGGAGGGGCTTATCCCCTGGAGGCTCTCCCAGTTCTTTCTGGCCCTGCTTCAGAGCAGGATGTGCTTCAGCAGCGCTCTTTAACACAGTGAAGAAGGAAGGAAGAAGATAGAAGGAAGGAAGAAAAGCGCGCCGCAGGCACCTGAGAGGGTGCTTTCATTTCGGCGGCGAGGAGAAGGAGGGCATGTTCAGCGCTGGGACGTCCCCGGGCACTGTGGTGGTTTTTCAGCCACCCTCACTAGACTCCCCTCAGTCTTATCCACTCCTGGGGTGGAGGGCCTGCCCCTTGGAACCTTGTTGGGGGTGTGGTCGAGTCAGCCTTTTTCCCGGCAATGGGAGTGGCTTCCAGGAAACGGCGATCAGCTGCAGAGATGGCTTGAAACAATGCTGCGGTGAGTCTCCCCGGCCCCCTTATGGTCTTCTCCAGCAGGGACAGACCTGGGGTGAGGAGGGGAGGTGGATTGGGTGAGTAGCCACGGTTTCCAGGTGCCCAGGAGGAGGCGGGGGGTAAACCCTTCATCCCATGCCTTGTTCAACCCTGCATTGCTAGTTTAAGGAGCCACTGATCTGCTTACAAGGGAGTTTCCAGGACTGGCCAGGATATGCAGGGATGCACTTACTCTTCTCCTATGGACAGGGTTAGCTAGTGCCTGGTTCCTTAGGAGTTTAGGCAGAGAAACAATTATGGCGGTGGCCATTTTAGTTCCCTTATGGAGTTTGTTTCACTTTCCTTTACAGGAATTGTGAGATGGCTGACCAAGCCAAAAGTGAAATCTCACAGGACAGCCTCCTTAGTGAATGGTTTCCCAAGATTGTCTGTCTCCTTAGCCTCGCAGGAAGCAATGGAGTCTCATGAAGTAGATTCTAGAGAAGCTGAGAAAGCTGAACTGATGAGCTGGTTCAGGGCAGAGATGAGAAAGGAATTTAAGGAAATGCTGCATAATAGCTTTAAGGGATCTGGTCCTGCTGGACCTTTATGGGGAAGGGGTAGAACAATCAAGAGGTCCAAACCCAGCAGGGAAGACGTGTCCTCCAGCAGTTCTAGTCGTCCCCCCCAATCCAAACACAGGAGAGCTAATTCCACTAAAAAATCTCACAGTCCTCTCATGGAACACTTGGAAAGGTATTCAGAATCCTCAGTCCCTACTTCAGAAAAGGAAGAAGGATGACTGTCTGAGGAAACAGAGGAAGTAATGCCTTTGGTCCAATCCACACTTTCCCCTCAAGAGTTATATTCTAAACTCCTACCCAAGGTACTCAGGACCTTAGACCTCACGTCCAAACCTAAGGACGTTACTGAACAAGACTCAGAGTTCCAGTCAGGACTAGGCAAATTGATGCCAAAACTTTCTGTTACTCAGCCAGGGCTGACCCTCCCTGCGTCCTTTTATAATATAATGAAGGCTGAATGGGAACAACCTGCCAATCCCAAGGCTAATCACCATCGTTTTTCTAAGTTTTATTCCTTTATGCCAGAAGCTTCCAAACGTCTGAAGCTACCCACAGTGAATGATCCAATTACCAGTCTGTGCTCCAACTTGGTGCTACCCATGGATGCAGATGGGATGCCGAAGGACCACTCTGACAAGCGGATTGAACAGGCACTTAGAAAAAAATTCGAGGCCTCTTCGGGTTTTCTTAGGGCATCTATGGCAGGGTCATTGTTCGCCAGAGCGGCTTATGACTGGGCGGAAAATTTAGCTTCAACAGACAGTAGTGTCCCAAAAGAATTCAAAGATGAAGTAAAGAAAATTGTGCTGGCTGCAGCAGATGCTACCCTGGACACTGTCCAACTTTCCATCAGGGATATAGCGTGTAGTGTGACGGCACATAGAAATAATTGACTCCGTCACTGGGATGTAGATTCTTCTGCACAGGCAAAGGTGGCGTCAGTCCCTTTTAAAGGGATTAACCTTTTTGGGGAGGGGCTAGACAGATATTTGGTGGAAGACAAAGATAAGAAAAGAGTACTGCCATCCAAAAAGAAGGATAGTAAGTCTAGAAAGAGATTCAGTCCTTTCAGGACCAGAAAAGAAGACAGAAATCCTCCTACACGAGACCTTTCAAGGCAAAGTGGCAGTCCAGACCACATAATAGCAAACCCTTTACCCACAATAAGGGAGACCAGCCCTCGAATAAGAACCACAAGAAGGGGACTTCAGTATGACTATTAGGCACACGGTTTCTTTTGGTGATTGGGGGAAGGTTGCAGTTGTTCGCGAAGCATTCACACCAAACTGTAACAGACCAGTCAGAGTGGTAACTGAACAAGGATTTTTTTCTGAAAGTTTGTGACAGGTTTGGAGTAATGAAAATGGACTTTTTTGCAATGGAGTCGAACCGTCAAGTTCCAGAATTTTTTTCCAGGTTGCAAAATGACCAAGCCATAGGAACAGATACTCTAAACTGCGAATGGCCGCAAGGTCTTCCATATGCATTCCCACCCATTGAAATTCTACACAGGGTGATCCAAAAAGTACGTCAACAAAAGGCGGAAGTGGTCCTGATAGCTCCCTTTTGGCCACGAAGACCGTGGTTTTCAGAACTAAAAAGAACCATGGAAACTTCCCAATCGGGCAGACTTGTTAGTACAAGGCATAACAAGGCACCCTAAGGAGGCAGGCTTCGGCCATCTCAGCTGTCCAGGGGGTTAGACATGGGAGGTCACTCCTTCATCATCCTCATGTGAAAAGGTTTCTGAGAGGGGCTTCCCTACTCAATCCATCTGTTTTCCTACCTGGAACTTAAATACAGGGTTGCGGGCGTTGTGCAAGGCGCTGTTTGAATCTATGGCCTCATGTTCCCTTAAGGAACTGACGTTCAAAAACTGACGTTTTTAGTGAGCATCGCCTCGGCGCGCAGGGTGTCAGAGATCAGAGCCCTTTCAGTCAATACGGATCTCTGTGTATTCCATAAAGATAAGGTGGTTCTTTGTTTAGATCCTGGCTTCATACCAAAGGTGAACTCAGTTTTCCATAGGACAGAGGACGTGATCCTACCCAACATTTGCCCTAATCCTACTCATGATAAATTTTATTTATTTATTTATTTATTTATTTTTGACATTTTTACCCCGCCTTCCCCACGGGGGTAAAGAAAGGGAGTTACATTGTTTGGATGTACGATGGGCTCTTAGTTTCTATATTGATAGAACTAAGGAGTGGAGGAAGTCAGAAACTCTTTTTGTGTCTTTCAGAAAGTCCTCAATGGGAAACCAGGTATCTGCGCCCACCTTAAGTAGATGAATCAAGGGTTGCATCTTTTTGGCTTACAAAGCCAAAGGCCTAGAGCTGCCTAAAGGAATCGTGGCTCACTCCTTAAGGGGAGCCACGACTTCAGTGGCATATCGTTCATTTCCCTCTCTGTAGGCAGTTTGTAAAGCTGCCACGTGGAATTCTGTCTATTCATTTACCCAGCATTATAGGGTGGACAACCTGGCGTCAGCGGAAGTGGCTTTTGATCATAGGGTCTTGCAACATGCCCTGTAAATGGGGAAGCTTCTCCCTCCCTTGGGGCAAGCTGCTTTTACATGTCCCATCTGTGCGAACTGTCCCACTAGCTGAACCAGTGGAGAAGGGAAGGTTTTTTTCACTTACCATGAAGCTTCCTTTCTCAGTGGTTCAGGAGTGGGACAGTCCGGCCCGCCCAGTTGTGGTGGTTTTTTTCGCTTCACACATTTGCAGGGAATGTTGGGAGACTTGGAGTTTTGCTGAGTAACCTAAGAGAATGCTGAGAAAGAGGGTTTCGTATCCTATGTCCCCAGTTTCTATTCTTAGACAGTCACTAGTCTAGTGTTCTGTGGGTTATGATATCTGTTGGTTGGTCAAAGTTGTTGTGTTGAGTTAGTCTCTGGTTCGGAGAGGTGTTTTCCCTCTAGCAGTTTCCAGATGGGGTTCAGCG